CCGAGGCTCGGCACTGTTCCCTGTGTGGGGCCGTGCAATTACAGTAATAGTGTGGAGGCTGCCAGTGTTGAGCGTGAAGCTCTGATCCCCGGCTGTGTGCTGATGGAGGGGATGGTGCTGAATACTGAGTGAGGAGGAGACTGTGGCCTGAATCCTAACCGACACTCAGAGGAAAAATACAACATTTACCTTTCCCTCCGCTTCCAGCAGCACAATGTGTGTTTTACAAATCACAGAAGATATCCCATTATATTTGTTTGCTGCATAATAAGATTGTAATGTTGATCTGCTGCTGCATCAGGTGGATTAAACCTCTGCTTCACTCAACTACAGCAAATCCTTTCAAACTAAAATGAAAGAAAAGCTGCTTTTCCTCAGTTCCTGTCACATATATGATGTAACAATGTGGGATGTGGATATTAAACGAGGATAAAGTGTCAGATAATGAGGTAAACCTATAGAAAGGTAATCCCTTTCTTTTTCGGCCCATTTACACCAATGTGAGTGTAAAGTCTTTATAATGAGAAACTCTCCTGATGTTGACATAGTATCACAAACTCATTATTTTGAGAGAATTGTTTTTTCGTCACATTGGCGTAAAAGGAACTTTTTGCTAACCACTAACAAGACGATTTATTTCTGAGCAGCCGGAGGACGTCAGAGGGGAAACCAGAATATATTTCTCCATAAAATCTGATCCAGTTTCACCAAAATCCCAGAGCAGAAACACAAACCATGAAGTGTGTTTGAAAGCTTGTTAAACTGCACAGAAGCACCAACACCTCACCTGCACAGGGGTTGGTAAGCCCCTCCCCCTGTGCAGGTGTTCCAGGTGTTGTGACGTCAGGGCGTTTGTACCTGAGAGGGAGGCAGCTCTCCGGCTCTCCTGCTGCTGCTGAACGGGTGGACTCCGGCGGACGCCACCCTGCCGCCCGTCTGGAGGTTGATGGGGGACGTCTGCAGCGGCTCCGAGCTCGCCGCCTTCTGTCCGTTAATGTGTGCGGTCACCATGGAAACGGGAGCCTTGGCCGGCACCACGGAGATGGCGATGCCCTGGCTGGGAGGCTTGATGAGAGACAGCGGCTTAGGCGTCCCTACAGGACAACTTCTGACTGCCAGCTTCTGTAGGGAGACAGACAGACACAGAGAGAGA